CTTAACAAACACTTACAATTAGTCTGCATTCAAAGCACAGACTGCACACACATTATTATGTCCGGACCTCTCACTCTGCTTTAATCTCAGTGAGTCTAATCTCATCCAGCTCAGAATAAATGGATTCTAACTCCTTACTGTTAGATTATTTTCTCACAGCCCCAACAGAGGACTTATTATTATTAGACATCAGAAGACATAGCATACAGATGACACCCAGCTCTATCTGTCCATGAAGCCAGATAACACACACCAATGAGTTAAACTGCAGGAATGTCTTAAAGACATAAAGACCTGGATGGCCGCTAACTTTCTGCTTCTTAATTCAGATCAAACTGAGGTTATTGTACTCGGCCCTGAAAAGCTTAGAAATATGGTATCTAACCAGATTCTTACTCTGGATGGCATTACCTTGGCCTCCAATAACACTGTGAGGAACCTTGGAGTCATTTTTGACCAGGACATGTCCTTCAACGCACATATTAAACAAATATGTAAGACTGCATTCTTCCATTTGCGCAACATCTCTAAAGTTAGAAATATCCTGTCTCAGAGTGACGCTGAAAAACTAGTTCATGCATTTATTACTTCCAGGCTGGACGACTGTAATTCATTATTATCAGGATGTCCTAAAAACTCCCTGAAAAGCCTGACAGGGACTAGACCTTCTCCATGATCTGAAGTCCATTTGAACAGCTCCACTGTACAAAAAACTGTCATCAAAGTTCAGGCTAAAAGGATAACGTTTACTCAAAAGTTAAAACTTGTCAAATGTGACCCACACAGGATGTTAAACTTGACTAAATCTTAAAGGCACATACACAGACACCCCGTCGGGGCTGAAAGGTCACTGATTCTGATCCGTCGGCTGCTCCTTGCTTTGTGTTTACGTCTTCGTGTAGAAGCCGTGTTCCTGCTCTCATTTACTGTTTTAGCTGTTTGGTGGTTGTTGAAATTTTGTGAGGTTTAATCTGAGATTCTGGCGTTTGGGGCAAAATAAATTAATATTTAAAAATCGATGCAGGATTTAATCAATCGATATCACGTTATCCAAGCTAGAATCAATTTTAATCAATAAATCGATAATCAAAACCCAGCCCTAGTTTAATGACATCATGTGACCAACAACATGGCTGCCCTACTGCACACACATTTATCAACATTCAGACATCCTGTACATTTTGTTTTTGACATTGTTGTACAGGGTAGCCAACTTCTAAATGGCCACCATGGTCACCACCCATCTTGAGGAGTTTCCCCCTCACATATACTAATGTGCCACAAACAGGACTTTAGTATCACCAACCATTCCCATGTTATTACGGTGTATCCATAGAAATGGCCCACCCTGTAGATTAAAACTCAGAGTGTGAATCTGCAGAGTTTCTGTGTGAGGAGTGTTGGTGGAGGAAGGAAACCTGCAGAAACACGGTGCAGTCAGGGCGATGATGAGGTGAGGCCTCCTGTCCCTCCACCTGCATGTACAACGTGTAGAAATGTGGACACACTTCGACTGACGCATTAGGGGTTCAGCCGTGGAGAGATTAAAAAAAAGACTGAACCTGGGTGAAAGGTTAACCTTTAGCGCCCACACACCGTCTGCCTTTCTTTTTAAAGAGCACATCTCATTGATATTTCATTGTGATCAATTATGTGTACTTTCCAGTGCACCCTTAACGACCTTCATCACCTCTATGAACCGAGGCTGTTTCAGGGGCCTTGCATCCTTTCCATTAGATTTCCATGTTTCCATCAGGGTGCAGACCCTGATTTCTTCCATTGGCTTTTATTTTTTAAACTCATCTGTAATGCTGAATAAATTGGGTCTTTGTGTTTCACAGCAGAACATAGAAAACATGTAAAGTCTTTAAAATGAGAAACTGTACCATGTTAGGAAACACATGAGCTCATTTTGAGTTTGAATAAAGTTGGGACAGGAAGTAGCTGATCAGCTGTCAGCAGCTCGGTCACATGGGTCAAACTCAAAATCAGCTCATATCTGTTAAACATTTCACAGTTTCTACCTTTAATGTGTTTTGGTTGTACTGGGAATAAATATGGATTCATGTCGTCTATTTACAACTTGTCTAATAACCCTGACAGGCACTGTGCCTCGCCTCAGCCCACTGCAGAGCACATCCATCAGGTGTTACCTCGACCTGTCGCAGCAGGATGTCACACTGACACAGGCACGAAAATGGATCAGAGAAAATCCAGCGCGCAGCGGAAAGAAAGGAAAGTTTCTCAAATGAAAGTGAAAGTGAAGCTCTCGGCTGTCAGACTCTCTGTGTTGTCCCGACCTGCATTCGGGGCTCACTGACCTGGAAGTCCCGGCAGAGCAGGCAGACGAATCTTTTATCAGGGAGCTAAAAAAAGGAACAGGACAGACTGACGAACATCGGTGAATGTGGCAGAAAGTCTAAATGATTTCCCGTGGAAGAGGAAGAGGACGAGGAAGAATGTAAATGTGCTCTCAGGCCTGAGCCGTCACATCCGGAACACCAACCCTGATTTCACTGGGCTCAGCAAATCGCACCATTCATCCTTCATTTAAAATTTCACTTCATCCAAAAGAGAAATGAGAGTCTGTGTGTGTCTGTGTGGTGTTAGTGTGTGACGTCAGATCTGATCGGAGCCTGGGTTCTCAGATTTATTGGAGATGAATAGAAACTTCAGTAAGTGGGAGCAACGCGTAACCTACACTGCTACAACTACAGGTCACATCTATAGCAGTGTAGTTTACTGCTACAACTACAGGTCACATCTATGCAGTGTAGTTTACTGCTATAACTACAGGTCACATCTATGTAGTGTAGTTTACTGCTATAACTACAGGTCACATCTATAGCAGTGTAGTTTACTGCTATAACTACAGGTCACATCTATGCAGTGTAGTTTACTGCTACAACTACAGGTCACATCTATAGCAGTGTAGTTTACTGCTATAACTACAGGTCACATCTATGCAGTGTAGGTTACTGCTATAACTACAGGTCACATCTATAGCAGTGTAGTTTACTGCTACAACTACAGTTCACATCTATAGCGGTGTAGTTTACTGCTACAACTAAAGGTCACATCTATGCAGTGTAGTTTACTGCTATAACTACAGGTCACATCTATGCAGTGTAGTTTACTGCTATAACTACAGGTCACATCTATAGCAGTGTAGTTTACTGCTACAACTACAGGTCACATCTATGCAGTGTAGGTTACTGCTATAACTACAGGTCACATCTATGCAGTGTAGGTTACTGCTATAACTACAGGTCACATCTATGCAGTGTAGGTTACTGCTACAACTACAGGTCACATCTATGCAGTGTAGGTTACTGCTACAACTACAGGTCACATCTATAGCAGTGTAGGTTACTGCTATAACTACAGGTCACATCTATGCAGTGTAGGTTACTGCTATAACTACAGGTCACATCTATGCAGTGTAGGTTACTGCTATAACTACAAGTCACATCTATGCAGTGTAGTTTACTGCTACAACTACAGGTCACATCTATAGTAGTGTAGTTTACTGCTATAACTACAGGTCACATCTATAGCGGTGTAGGTTACTGCTACAACTAAAAGTCACATCTATGCAGTGTAGGTTACTGCTATAACTACAGGTCACATCTATAGCAGTGTAGTTTACTGCTACAACTACAGGTCACATCTATGCAGTGTAGTTTACTGCTACAACTACAGGTCACATCTATAGCAGTGTAGTTTACTGCTACAACTACAGGTCACATCTATAGCAGTGTAGTTTACTGCTATAACTACAGGTCACATCTATAGCAGTGTAGTTTACTGCTACAACTACAGGTCACATCTATGCAGTGTAGTTTACTGCTATAACTACAGGTCACATCTATGCAGTGTAGGTTACTGCTATAACTACAGGTCACATCTATAGCAGTGTAGTTTACTGCTATAACTACAGGTCACATCTATGCA